GTTGGAGGCCATCGCTATTAGGTTGTCGGGCCATTGCTATTAGGTTGGAGCCATCACTACTAGGTTGGAGGCCATCGCTAGCAGGTTTGAGGCCATGGCCATTAGATTGGAGCCATCGCTATTCGGTTGTCAGGCCATCGCTGTTAGGATGGAGGCCATCGCTATGAGGTTCCTTAATGTTTTTCTAAGTGTTTCTGTTTTTTTTATTTGACATATTGAGGTTTACTTTCAAAACCACAGGAGGGCTTAGCTGACTGTGATCCGGCATGACCAGATGCCCTAGGGAGGGTGACATCTTCCAAACTTTGTTTGAGCCTTTGCGGTTGGATCCTCCAACTTGTCATGCGTGAGGCAACTGTTTTGGAGTTTGGGATGGTGTTTCATGCGAGAAGCTTCGACGCGTTGATACTAATTCAGCTCCAACTGCATCATCAATCAAATCCAGATACCCAAATATACATCATCTAGTATATCACCTAGTGCTTCTAGATCGATCAATTTCATCTTATCCCATCCCATCTGCCCAAAACCACGGAGTTCCCTGTGATCACCCACGTCTTGGCAACGCAGGCTGTACCGAAACGTCTTGGCAACGCCTTGGGGCCGGTGGACTACAGCAAGCGCACTCCAGTGCCCAAGGAGTGGAGGGATCCGAAGGGTGAGAGTGGAGAAGTCTCCGGCACCTGCCATCCCAAGTGCTTGGGAAGTTTGGGATAGAAGTTAGAGCCTTTATCTCTGACCGCTTGCGAGTTCGCATACCGTACACGGCAGTTAGAAGTTAGAGCCTTTTAAACAGGCTGCTATCCGAAGTCTGAAAAAAGGCAGCACGATGTTTTGGCATGTCTGTCTAAAGCTGTGAATCAGCAGCGGCTTGGAACTGAGTAGTTTCCAGGTCTAGTCATGGAAGACTCTTGGAGATGTTATTTCCGTGGCAGGTGGTGAAATCTGAGATCTCGGGTGCTGGTAGAAGGATGAATTTTGACCTGAAGATGCCAACTGTCGTCTTGAAATGTCACCTGCCAAGTAAGGGTTGTTAGGTTTTGACAGAGCTGCCCTTGCCTTTCCTCCTCCTTTTCCTCCTCCTCCTCCACAACTACTAGCCAGAGTGCAGTTGGCACCAGCAGACCTCAAAGCACATGTCTGAACACATTTCAGGACCGAAGTTGGACCATCTGTCACAGCGCATGGTCCCCCGATCTGCTTCCGAAACACCGCCCCTTTATCATCCTGCGATCATCCTCGATCATCACAAACCATGCGCAAATTGACGCAGTCCACCTTGAACGGCCTGCCAGCCTACTTGCAAATACCAAAGTCGCTGTTGCTTGTCCGTCGTGAAACGTCAGGGCTTGCGCTTGTCCACGACCAGGCCCACGTGTCACTGGGCCAGGACTCAGACGTTGTTCTTGTACCCCAGGACCTCCTTGACAGTAGCAACATCTCGCCACAGAGCTCTGGAACTCCAGAACCAGCCTACAAACTCGAAACCGAGCGTCTCAGACGCAGTGAGCCAAAGGGGGTGAAGGACACAGATTGCGTGATTTGCGGATGTATTTTAGAATGTTGTCCTCATCAGTGGAAGGACCGACAGAATTGCCCACTGGCTACCCTGCTTCCAATGCCGCTCTTTCACCCAAATCCGTGGCATGTCTATGCGTCTTGTCCTGGAACCGTACCTATATGTACTTTGCGGTCATCATGGGTGCAGAACAGATGCTTCAAATGGTCCGCTGGCATGTCAGAACGCACATCTGGACCGAAGTCGGACCATATGTCACAGCACTGCAGACTTCATGGCAGGACAAATGAATGTTTGAACACATGCCAGCAAGGACTTCACAACACAGTCCAGAACATTTCGCAGCCTTTATGATAGATGATGCGTCAGAGCACACACCAGACTTGATGCCGGAACAAGCGAACATTGTGTCAATCTTTCCACATGCCAGGCCGCGGATATCGGGACAGTCCTTTGGCAGCCGATAGCAGGTGGTTAAATTCAGCTGGAGAGCAAGTTCGGGATGTGCCTCGCAAAACAGTTGTTTCAGGTTTCAGACAAAAGCTTGCGCATGTACTTGGCATGGCGCACAGTGATTGTTTCAATGCTGACATGTTTCATGCTGGCATCCACCGTGGCATTGAAACAAAGCCTAGAAATGCAATGCTGGGGATCACTCGGAGTAAAAATACAATTGTTGGCAGTTGGTGCCTCCAATTGTTTGCTCTTAGCTCAAAGCCCTCAACCTGCTGGTTCCATGCGAGCCCCAACCAATTCGATCACGGCCTCACCGTCCAAAACGTCGCTCCTACCCTCCGCCAACGGCCAGGACTGGATCCTCCGTGGCAGTGGCATCCATGGACCCGAGAACGGCGAGGCGCGGCATGTGGTGACAACGCGTGAGACGGGCGGCTTTTTCAGCACATGGCGCGTCACGGTTTGTTTTCCCGGTGAAGGCAAACACGGAGATGTCGGCAACGGTGTGTGGATATTGCGGTGGATCTGTGTGCCGTTCTGCCGTTCTGTTAATCTTTTGGGGGGGGGCGGTGTGGGGACACGGAACGCAGGGAGTCTTGAGATTCCGTGGAAGTTTTTCGTAAAACGACCTTGGTGTGGTTCATTTCTACCTTGGAAGGGCGTATTTTTGGAACACCGGCAGAAAACCGGTGACCCGATCCACATACAGTAGGGAGCCTCCGAGAGGCGAATGGGAGAAGCTTGAGATGGCGTCACATTCGTGTCGGATATTTAATATATAACAATTATATATCTACAATACCCAGACACTCCATGTATGCCATATATGCCTACATTGGGGTGGTTTGAGGGGTCAATGTAGGCATATATGGCATACATGGAGGCTCCAATGATGGAGCGTCTGGGATATATAGGGATGGGTCAAGAGCCGTGGAGCCGTGGTCCACCATGTAGCGAACGACCTCCCAGGTTTTGGGTCAACCAAGGTAGCCTCATTTTGACCAACAACCATATACTTCGAGTACTAGGACTTTGGATGCAGCTGTGCAGGGGTGGGTTCAGTGCTTGGATTCATTTGGCCCTGCCTTGTTAGTGATGTTCGAGGTACCTGGAAAGAGGACCCCCAAGCTGGAAATCCCGTGAACAGAAGTGGAGTGCAGATGTGTTCGAACGCCCAAAACAAGCAGCAGTAAGCATAGCAAGACAAGCAACAGCAGTCCCATGGATTGTGAGGGACAGATTTCGATCAGATGGAACCTTTGGAAAAGCAACGTCTCCAACCTAATAGCCATGGCTTCCACCTAATAGCAATGGCTTCCAACCTAATAGCGATGGCCTCCACCTTGATCTGAGCACAGAAGCCATATGCGTGAGCACATGAACACCCTTTTTGTGGAGCTCCAATGAGTCAGACTGGAAGTCCTTGGAAGTAAGAACATGAGCTCAGTTTTGCGGTTTTCAGGTGATTATGCTTGTTTTTTGTTGTTTTCCGTGGGTGAATCCCTTGGCGTTGGTGAAGATGTTTTTTTGTACCGGTTCCTGGACAGCAAGTCCGGGCTTGTGTACTGCATCCCAATACTTGTTGAGTCTAGGAACATTGCTGGAACCCTGGAACCCAAAACTGTACTTGCCTAAGAATCTGCCGAACCAATACATAGGGTTTGGAAACCAGGACCGGACCCCTGCTATGTCTGACCGCCAAGAGGTCGGGCGACGTTTCTTTCCGTTGCGTTGCCGATGTCTTTTCCTCGGATGGTCCACCTGGGCTGCCTCACACACTGACCAGCACAGAGACTCGCAGCACGGTCTCCGCAGCACGCCCCCTGCGCGCATGCGGGAGGTGATGAAGCTGGTTTTGTGGAACCGCCTGAAGCAGAAGCGTCCCCAGCGGCCCCAGGTTCCTGTGGAAGATGCTCGTCCACGACGTCCTTAGCGGAAAGTCGTCGTGCCGAAAGCGATGTCGCCGTGCCGAAGTGCGCACCAAGGGGTCAGACTCAAGACGTCGGGAGCTGACATCATGTCAATTATAGTCACCTAGAACCTGGTTGACCCCTGTTTTGGAGCCAAAACATGGTCTTTTCCTATCAAAACAGAGGTCAAATGGGGTCTAGGCAATTGTATTATATATATATACAACACCAAATTACACGGGTTCAACCCCCCTCGGTAAAAAAGAACAACTCACCTTACAAAGCATGTGTCCATGATTCCATTGAAGTCCAATGTAGTTTCCATTCGGAATGATGTATGAGGAGTGGCTTGAGTAGTCGCTCATCTCCTGGTTGGTCAGTCTCCATGGTATTTCGGACACCAAGGGATCCAAAGTTTGGTAGACTGGATGCAGGAACTGCTCGAACTGCTCACACTGCTTTGGGATCCCTCACGTTACGTCGAACGAACAAGGAGGAAAAAACGTCGAACAGGCTGGTGTCTCGCATCTCTCCGCGAAGAGAGCTGCATCGCGCCCTCTGTCGCATCGTGGAGTGCGCATTGTGAATGAAATGTCTCTGAGACCTCCCTGCTCAATGGCTTGTGGTCTACTTTCCTTCATCCGGATCGTTGCGGAGGTCCCCCAAAAACCATCCTTCATACACACCCAGGACGTGACGTCCGGGTGATGGACTGCGTCCCGTTTCGACCTATCAGGACCTGCAAGAGTTCTTCCGCATGGAGGCCGCGGCACGAGACCTGTGCCACAAATGAGAATGATGCAAGGGAATCCTGGCTTTTTTTCCTTTCACAGTGGTGACTAATCAACTGTGGTTGTGAGTGGAAAGACCAAGATACTACGATCGAGAATTCTGAAGATGCATCATTTTGGAACAAGCAATGGACAACACGGCGGTACATTGTCAGGTGAGACATGTTAGATGTTGTACAATACGTAGGACATGTTCCTAAGTCGTACAGCGGGTCACTAAGGACGTGGTGAAAACGTCCGGATGGCCCGTCTGTCCTCTTCAGGTGGCCATCGTCTGGTGGATGTTTGGCTGTGTCTTCTTCGTGGCCCCTCTCAACTGGTGGGGCAAGAAGTATCGCATCTTGCCCGAAACCGGGTTGGCCATGGTTGGCCTCCTTCTCCTTCCAGGGACGCGGGTTTTGGGGTGGAATGGCCCTGGTTCATGGTTGTTTTGGTGCCACTGGAAGAGAAAAGAGGTGAAAAAGATCCATGGAGGTCTTAGTTTCATTGATACATATTGAATCATATTGATACTATTGAAGATTGTTGATGCATAGTGATGCAAAGAATCCATTATGATTTGATATGGTAGCTTTCCAGCAATGTAAGCCAGCTTCCGACGCATAATTGAAAGAAAGTCCCTGACCCGCCACAAAAGAATGTACTTTCTACCCCAAGAAGTGTGGAATGAAGAAACCTAGTGGATTTATTAAGTTCTTGAGTTCAGGATGCTTTCCCCATGTTTCAGTACATTCAGAGCGAGCATCACACCTCCCTGAACCATGGTGTCTCCAATTTGTCTTGTGGGCTTGGGACACCCATTGGATGGTCATGATACCTGCTAGACAAATGTTAGAGTTCATTGCATCCAGAAGTGTACTCCTTCCGCCAGACCGCCAGACCACCAGAGCAGTCCCTTGCGGTCCCTTGATCGACATTTAGGGAGAACCCGTCTCCACGCCGAGGGAAGCGAACCGTCAAGATCATATTTTCCAGTTTCGGTATGTCTCATATTCTGAAGAATCAATCTCAGTCACATCCATGTTGTTCAAGTCGGGTCTTTCTTTCTACAAGTTGTTCTTTTCCAAAATGGGCAGTGAGTCCTTGTCAAAACTCCTTTCTCTTATTTAAAAAGAACATCAGTTTGTCTCGCTTCCCGATTCGACGTCGTTTTCAGGTATGGTCCATGATCACTACCCCTGGTTCCCCAAGCGCCAAGACGGCACTCACGGCGTTGGGCCCGGACTGCCCAGAGCGATGAGTCGGAACCGACGAGAGAACGGACGACGAGAATCGAGGGGGTGACATTGGGCGTTCCGGAGACTGATCGAACGAAAGACCTGTTTGTAGTCTTTTGATCTGGTTTGAGAGCGTTTGACCTGCTTGTGGATTTGAGTGGGCTGAACTCCATTGTGTATGGAATCGAGGTTCCATCGCTGCTCGGGGAAGAGTTGCTTCGAGAGCTTTAAGATGCTTCCTTTCTGCCACCCAAACGCGACCCTGGACCTCCTCCATAATCCCGGTTGTGAGGGGCCGGGCTCCGCGCTGTATGAAGCGTTTTGGCAGAACACTTCAACATACTTCAACTATATGATCGACTGTTATTCATTAAACGAACTCCAATGAAAATGGATGACTCCGGTCCTGCGGGGTTTATTCATCAGCAGTCAAGTCAAGTTGTGGCTTCAGGTTTTGGGATGGGTCGGAAATTGGTCCATGAGGCATTGGTTGCTTCTTTAAATTCTTTTAATCTGTTATTGGGACACCGGACTCCTCAGTCCAACGTTGTTCAGTCCGATCTCCGTTTCCTTCAGAACGTTCCTTTTTTTTTACCACGGAGTCAGGTTCTGAAGAATTGAAGGTCTTGCAAACGAACGAAACAACAGGCTACAGGTCTATCTACTCTTTGTAGCACGCATACACCATGGTGCTACTGAAAATCATGTTCAACGGTCGCAGGTGGTTAAACGGCGGTTGCAGTTGTACACCTCCATCCTCCTCCCTCCGGGAACGGTGATGTGTGGCTTGTTGGAGGCCTTACGCCTGGTTCTTCGAGTGAGGGACTCCGGTGACCTTTCGGCCCTCAGCCGGTGTCTGGGGCGTCTGCGCAGCACGCGGAAGAGCGGCCGAACTCGTTCTGTTTGAACATGCACCAGTGAAGGTCCACCGAGCTCGTGGCTTTTTCAGGCTTCGTTGCGGGGAAGAGGGATTAGGGAAACCCGCGAGCCATGTGGGTCCCGAAGTCTTGGAATCCTGAAGTTACCTATGAGCCATGCGAGCCTTAGGAATCACCTGGAAACTGGTACCTTTTTCACCCCCCCGGGGGTCTACCAGATCTAGAGACTGGGGTCTTACTCTCTGTGCACCGATGCTTTGGGTAGGGCCCTACGCCTCCTTCCAAGCAGCCATCAATGAACAGTTGAAGTGGCCCCCCCCAGTAGTCACAGATCCTCCGATCATCTATAGAGACCATTGAAGGAGAGAAATCTGCAGCCAAGCGGTTCTTTGTGGCGCCATAGCCATGTGTTGCTTTGGTGGGAACATGTGGGAGCCGCTAGAAGGTCGGTGGTTTGAGATGTTGACCTGCACATGGATTTAACATGGGCGGAGCGATCATGAGAATTTGGATACAGTTGCATCTTTGGGTATTTGTTTTCACAAACTGGACCGCCTCAAGGTTCAAACGCGAGTTGTTGTGGACTCTCTCTTCCAATGAAGCCAAACACAAATCATTAAATCCACATGGCACCGCTTCCATGTGCTGCAACAAGGGATGCTGCCAGATACTTGGCGACCGTTTGCGAGTCTCTCGCATGTCCAGTGTCTTAAGTTTTGGATGTTGGATAAAGTTGGTTTTAACAAAGTTTTAACACCTGAATGTTCTTTGAGGCTGCACTTAATGTTGACCAATCATCTTCCGATGTTGCTGCTCAATCAATTGACTCTTCCGAAAGCTAGGCTGGTTTTTATCAGTGAGTCAGTCTTTGACATCAGTACTTATCGCTGGAAAAGGAAAAAGAGAGCGACTCTGGGTGTGGCTCAACAAGTATAGGCTGGTGTAAACTGGCTCAGGCATTTCTGTGGCCCGCCTTGTCTCTCAGAGCCGAATTCAATGAGGGCTATGGAAACATGCATCACATCTCATGGTGGACACCTGGCTCAGCCAAGCACCACGAAAGCACCACGACTCCATATCTCGTCAGCTCGCGATCAGGGATCGATCGGTTCTTTTGTTTCCGTGTCACTCTTCCTTTATTCCACTTGTTGTGCTCACAGGGTACTGGATGTTTTCCACTGACCGCCATTGTTCATGGTTCATCTCTATAAGTATGGCTAATCGGGTGGAGACAGCCACCTGTCTGGAACTTGATCATCTTGGGTTGGAGCTATAAGAAATGAAATGAACAGTATGGGCTAAGACTTCCCCTTCTCGGTAAGTCTTGGTGACACGACCACCGCGGTGCGAGACCACCATAACAAGCCGAAAACTCAGCCCACCACGCGCTGGGTTTTCGGTGTTTCGTTGCTGAAGAGGGTTCCCGCTTCGGTGTCACGGTGCTCGGCGAGGCATTGATGCTCATGGCCGGTTATATGACCTGGACCATCCGATGGACCGGTCATCTGACTGGACTACTACCCTCCACATCCCTCTCCGGGAGATAACGGACACCATTGGATGGTCCGATGGTATGTGAAACATGTGTTGACCTTTGGTAAGAACAGAAACGGAGGAAGCGGGGATGGAGAACTGGCCAGAACTCGCGTGATCATTTGGACCCAACCTGCTTGTGGTCAGGGTGTGGTGAGGAGAGCACCACTCCACCATGCTGAACACACACACACACAACTGGGTGTCCGCAGGGAATGCACACAGACGAACTGCGCGCTGAAAGTTATCGACACTGAGCCAAAGTGCTCGGTGACAGCAAAAGCCTCATCTCAAACATGCAAGCACTGGCAAATCAACAGAGGATGCCCATGTTTTATTGTGTAATCCCCCAAAGTAGAGGGAAGCAGCCGACACTAAAGCGGTTTCAGACCCGACATGGCTCAAGCTAAAATTCAGAAAGGTCATGTATCTTAAGACATATCGAATATCGAACACCTTTGTCACAGGGCTCCGTGACTTTGTCCAGACAGTGTCCAGGGCCATGGCCAGAAGTCCTTCCTCCGTGTTCAGAAAAAGCCAACCAGTAGCGTCGCCCCCATGACTTCAGATGATTTAAGATCTTAGTCTTTGCCACATGTGTTCACCATGGACACCTCCCAGCTGCGTTTGGCCGGGCACCCGGTTGGTGGGCCGCTGGTTTGTGGAGGAGCATGTTCGCCATCCAGGTTGGCGGGTGAAGCACGAAGCGACGCGGCATTTCAAACTCCCAAGGGTGGAGTGATGTAGACTCGTGTAGACCCAAAGACGCCAATTGCCACCACACTGCTCGCAGTCGGCGCTCGAGGTCTGTGGCCAGAGACGAAGTGCCTTGATCCGGGCACAGAACTTGCACGCGCAACTGGAAGACAAGGATCGAACGAACCGAACGGAACGGTTCTCGGGTTTAGGGTTTTCCCTACACCTCCAGTCGTACCTCCTCAGTACCGGACCCGAACCAGCCACCCCAGTCGTACCTGAGACGGTGCGACTGGAGCTGTAGGGTTTTTTTGGTATGTGTTGGGTCGTCGCAGCCCGTGAGGTTCGCAGAACAAGGTCAGGTCAGGCGAGGTCAGGCGAGGTCAGGCAAAAACCCAGAAGAAAGGCAGCGAGAAACAGGCACCTTTCACAGAGAAACCGGTCATGAGAAACTGAAATTGATGACATGGACCGAGAAGGCCGGAACAATGTGATGTTCACTCGACCTACTCGACCACAAGATCGATTCCACCCTGCCTGGAGCTTCAGTGGGCCACCCAAGCTGGCGTGTTCTCCGTCTGGGCCACCCACCTGGAATCAAATCTGGCTGAAGGTCAGGTGGTTTCAGGGTGATCAACGGAGCGTCCATCCTGTGATGGGGTGACTTCCGACTCTGTTGCACCCCATCCATGTTTCACCGGTTTTCCCATCATTAAAGAAACGCACCTTCTCCTCAAAAGACATCACCGGTGGATGATGTTGGATGTTATTGGATGTGATGTTTGTTCGAGCTTTTTAGTTTGGATCCGCAACACTTGGAAACTCAACCAGAAGAGTTTGGGCGGTCGCGCGAGCCCAGTGAAGATGTTTTGTAGACGCATCTAAGCCCCAAATCCTGTCACGCAATCCTCATAACGTGCAAAACTATCAGTAGTTTGTTATCAATCAAGAGGCTACAAACATCTACATTAGAGTTGCCTTGTGGAATCTTGTCGATGTCCATCGCTTGTTGGTTTGAACAAAAAGCTACAAGGAGTCCTTGAACTAACTTTTGGGGTATGCCGTGCATTGACTGTGACTGCATCCAACCAGACTGGTGTTGCAGGCGCGCCAGATCCAGGAGGCTTCTGCTGAAGAAGCACTTGAGGCACTGAGTGCTGGGCCACGGCGCGAGTGTTGGGGCCTTGTTGGGGCCACCACCTGGCCATCGACTCTATGGTTATTTGTTTTGCCATGTCTGAGGGTGTGGCCCTCAGGGTCCTCAGGGTGTGAACTTCGTCTGCCACCGCCGTACTGCGGAGTAGAAAAAAGATGATGTTCTTCTAGATTCTAGACAGTGGATATGGAGTCCGGCCAAAAGTCTATAATCAAAAAAAATAGATAAAGGGGTCGAAAGTAGCTTATGATGTTGTTTTTTCAATTAGATTATGCAGCGGGCCCCCAGCTAAACACACCTATTCTGCAGCTGGGCGCTAGGTTTGCGGTAGACTTGCGCTAGTGACGCCAGTGTTTGCCTTAGGACATGTTCAGAACGTCGCCAGGTTTGAAAAGTGGCTGGCTAAAAAATGCGCTAGCCGCGCGCTAGCACGGCGCTAGATCCGCGCTAGCAAACATTGCCAGATTCCAGCGTGGACCCTTCCGAGGCTGACTTGCAACATGTCTTTTGTTTCAATCATGGCTTGAAGCTCGGAGATCAGCTGAAAACGGTGCAGCGCTAGTGACGCCTCTCACAATTTGGCGCCAATACTTGTTTAGTCAATGCCTCCTTCATTGACCAGCTGCGTGTGCCAAAAGTAAAGAATATGTAGCGGGCCCCCATGTGAACACGACTTTCAGCCATTTTAGGAAGAAGACATTTCGACCACAACATATTATGTTCTATAGTTCCATGTAACATGTTGGAGTATATGTCATATATGTCAACCAACATATTGCAACAAGAAATACCTACCAACATATCAACCAACAGATCAACCAAATTGATGAGCGTCATGAGCCGAGGTTCCGGGAAAGCTGCTCGGCCGGTCCGAGCTTCTCCTCCTTGGGAGTGTCAGCCCAAGACATCTTGGCTTTGCTTACCCAGACGCTCCTTAACCCTCATATGGGTCGGACCCGAATCCTCTGAAACGGGTCTGGGGTCGAACCAATCCCTAGGTTTTGAGGGACCACAAACTGTTTGGAGCGCTTGGGTAGGATGATTTGCATGTTGTTTTTCCTCTCACTGGGTGAATCCCCTGGTACGGGGACGTGGTTTTTTCTTGGATCCACAGATCTGATTCCAAGAAATCCTCAAGGATTCCAGTCCATTTCATCACATTTCATCACCACATCAGCCATGCCAACAGAGTAAGACTCCTTGAATTGATGTTGATGTTGTGCAGGCTGGCACCCTGAACAGCTGAGAGTTGGACTTACCAGACCCAACACCTTCGGTCCAGAGCCCGGTTCGCACTCGCCAGGCCGAACAAAGAGTGTTGCTTTTGACTGCTGGCCGCCAGAGGGCACAGGACAGCAATTCATGTGCGGAAATAAAGGGATCTGAGAAAAAACCACCCCATGGGACCAGCAGAATACTTGCATCGGGGTGGTTGAAGTGGGGTAAAATAAAGAAACAGGAAAAAAGGGATAACCTTTGACCTGGTTTGGGGGAATTTCCACACGTAAATGAACAAGGAAACAGGTTGACCATGGTTGACCTTTCTTATCCAGGGAAACTGAGGGGGTTAGTATATGTTAATGGAGTGTCGGGGTTTGTGGTGTCGGTGTTTAGGGGGGGTACGTGTTTGAGCTGCACATTCCAGTAGCTGCTTGGCTGGCTGCTGCGGAGCTCTCGACTTTTTGTGGCCAACTATTCTCTTCAGATTCCCAAGCACTCCATGTATGGTAAATACAGGAGTTTCAGAGGTTTGAGGGCACTGGTACTGATGTCTTTTAGAAAAAGGATCCATATCAAGGACCACCAGAGCCTTGGGGTAAACTTGTGCCACCTACTCTGAAACTGCTGGTTGGAATTTTGTACATTTACCCCTTTGCAACCACTCCGTTTTTTGTAGACAATATGTCGGTCAAACACCTGAGGAGCTCCTACTAGCAGCGCTTCCCCGGCTCCGGTTGACCATATAGCTTGACGTTAACTTCTCTTCATGTTTCGTGACAAAAAGGTGATCGTATATATTAATATATTCCCAAACTTCAAAAGTCTTCATCCCCAAACCTGGGCAAGTTCCGGCAGCACGCGTCTCGGCGTCGGCCAGGAACGATCGAAGGCTCTGAAATTGGGTGTGTTGGAAGCGAGCCACGAGGCAGGTGGGGTCGAGGTCGGGCGACCACCCGTTCGGGTGGTCGGGTTGCGGAGGTCGGGGCGGAGTGAAGGCTGAAAACAAGGGCAGTGCAGAAGCGACGAACGGAGCCGAGAGCATCGCTACAAGTGATGGGCGTGTTTTGTTTGGTGCTTCTATTCCAGGGATGGTTACTAAATGTTACTTTTAGCGATCGGCCTCCACAGGGATGGTTACTAACGGTTACACTCAAGTGTGTTGTTTTGTTTTGTTATTAGATTTATTAGCGTGTATCTTCTATTCCACGAGTTTTTGCTCAGGGAGCGATGGCGATGCTGGGGCTTCCCCATGAGAGTAGGGAACCAGAACTCAGAGTAACCTGCCACAGGTCCTCAACCCCGTTTGCGTCGTCTAGTCACGGATAGATGGTTTACACTCGCTGACACTCCATCGTTACGCCGGCCGGCCGGATGGATCACCCCGTTTCGGTCTTCCGACCGGACTGTCCTCGCTTTCCGAAGCGTACATGGTGGTACCATTCCCAGACACTCCATGGGACTGCCATATATACCTACATTGGGGTGGTGCCAGAGGGGTCAATGTAGGCATATATGGCAGTCCCATGGAGTGTTTGGGATTGAATGCACGTATTACGTCAATGATTCTTCCAGGGATGGTGGCCATGCCTTCGTGTCCACATGAGGCCATGCCTGAAGGTGCCCGTCTGTGCCGGATGTAAACCGATGTGCGGCACGCGCAGTTTTTAGCCCAGAAAACATCGAGATCCAGCTGATCCACAAGAAGATCTGCGTTTCTCGGGGATGCACGAAACATCATCATGTAGATCATATAGGTAGTGGACACAGGGGATTGTTTTACCTGAGGCTTGGCCCTACTGTAGATAGGCGCCTGTTTCGTTTGTGGGTGTTCGTTTTGTCCAATGGATGCAATTTGTAATTATGACTGTCTACCTGGAAGCCAAACAACCAGATAGGCATGGTGGCCACACAATAGCAGTTCAGATTCTTAAAAAATGGTTGGTTCTTGGGCAGAACACAGTGGGAAAAAGAAGACGATATGATCAACTCAAGATGTGTTTTGTTTGTCAATCCGACCCGTCCACAAACCAATCAATCAGACCTATTATGCATCCCTTAAGATCATATAAACACCTGACAAGAGGGAAGGCATCCTTTTTCATGTCCACAATGAATCTTGGAAGAAGTGTGAGCTTTCTGCACAGCTCAGGGCCAAGAGCGATTTCTCAATCCCTTTGAAGCTCCAGTGTTTGTGAAGAACTAGCGTGTTAACCAACAAAGCGGACAAAGTCCAGCATCACTATGTGCTCAACTACATTGGCATGTTGTTTGATCAGCTGGGATGCACTTCTTGCTGGTACAGGGTTACAGGATGCTTCCTGGAATCATTGACTTATAGAACTGAGGATGACTGGTAACGAGGCCCCAAGCTTGCAGAGGTGTTGCAATCCACGTCAGGGGGGGTCCGAATCCACAGTCTACATGGTCAGATATCCCAGTCCATCCCAATCCATCCTGCTCCATCTCCATCCCCTTTGGGAACCCTTTGGGTCACACTCCGGGGATCGCCCACAGTTCTCTTCTTCAGGTTGAAAGCCTGCGCTGGCGCGTGAGTGCACTGCAAAGGCGGGGCTCTATGGGGTCCTCCCAGTGTGGCCCAGTCAGAGACCAAAAGGATCCACCTGCGGTGCCCCCAGGAGCGACGGTTTTGGACCACCAAACACTCATAAACACTCCAACCTATGGTCCAACGTCCTATCAAACACTTCCAGGATCTTCCAGGTCATGTTTGGGATATACTTTTTTTTGTTTGCTTGAAAGTGTGAGGACTTCATTCACATTGGGTTTCATTCTCGGTTTTTGGTGGGTCCGAACCTTGGAGCGGTCCAGGAACCTGGAAAGAAAAACAAATCTCCAAACCTACCAGGACCCCCCAAGGGGTGGTGAATGGACACCCCGAATCACAGCTAAGGGGCTATAAATAGACACCCCTTGGAGGGTCCAAACCTAGGACTTTCTTTATTGCTAATAACACATCTCCTTAAGCAGAACCAGGGAAGCCTGCCTTTGTTCGATGCTGTTCGATGCCGTGGCTTGGGCGTCGCTGTGATCGTTTGCCTTGCGAAAAGTGGATGAGCTGCCAGGTCCACCCTTTTGGGTGGATCGGGGAGTTTCTTCACGCAAGATGAACACTTGGGGTCTCTAAGTGACTTTCGGCAGTGTAGTGTGGCTCATAGCTTCGTGCTGTTCGACCTGAGTGCCAAAGCCTGCCAAACCTCTTTGACTTGGCTCGGCAGATGGAGTTTTCTTTGGAGTTCGTTCGTTCACTGTTCTTTTCCAGGGAAGCTACTCGAGGTTCAGGGAGTACTTAGCATGTTTTTGATGATGGAATTCACCTGTCTTCTGGGTTGCGAGTGTAGCGTTGGGAGGCTGCAGGAAGCAGAACCACGTGGCTGGGAGCTGAGCTTTAGATATCCACACTGCCAGTGATTGGAGAGATTTGTCTGGACAAAAGTGGATGGTGCGCATGAGGATCTACAGTGGTTTCAGAGTAGATGGCACAAATGTCCAATTGGGTGGTTTATATGGACCCCATCGAACAAAGTCATCTTTTGTGGTGCCAGTGCCATCTACTCTGAAACCACTGTAAGTCATCATTGTAAGTCGTTCTTTTTTTCTCATATTGCGAACCCTGACAAACGCTAGTCCCTATGGACTGCCCTGCGAGAAGTGACTTGAGAGTAGCTAGTTGTCAGCACCGGGCTATGTGAGGGGGGTACAATTTGAGGTTGCTCCCTTCCTCTATGGCAGAGACTGGTGTCATTACACTGGTACTTCAAAAAGATGACTGGTGTCACAAACGAAACACCGAAACCATGGGCACTAGGTGCGCAAAAGTTATCAGTGTGCGTGGCAAGCATTTGGGAGACATGGTTTGACATGGATTGCATTTTGAGATGTGGAGTAAAACCGGACCCAAGGCGCACAAAATGAAGAGGTGTGCGGGGTAAATGTCACTACTGCGCCGCGCGAATTTCCGCGGGTGCGCGTGGCAAGTGTTTTTTTTTGGTTGCAAAGAAGCTGTTGCTTAGAAGGTGAGCCAAACCCAAGCAAGCGGACTCGTTTAATGTCCTTTGGGACAGTTAGCCATGTTGATTTTCTTGGCAAAAGGAGACAGCACCTGAATGAATCCAGCAGAGTTCCTGTATTTCAATCCGATTCAGGGGAATGACCGTGTCAAGGCTGCCTTTGGTAGACAGCAGGAGGGCTTGGTCTAAGTGGTGGATGCATGGCCTGGGGGGTGTGAGTTCCTCCAACCCTTTGTTTTCGTTCCTCGAGCCTTTGACTGATTGGATAAGAAAACAGCCATGCAATGCCATGCATTCCAGTCCTCTGGATAGGAAAAAAAAACATGGAAAAGACCACCGTCCGCTGGCTCAGAATCCAAAACAAAAGGAAGGACATGGCTCAGATTCATTCTCAGTTCATTTTCGAGCTCCAAGGTGATCCTATTTCTGGTGATCGAGGGGTACTGTTGCTTGTTTGGCGGATTCAGGTGCTGTTGACTTTCCCCGAACTGGGTGAATCCCCTTGCAACGGCAAGATGTTTCATTGGCGGTGTCCGTTGGTGCACTCTCTGCCGGCCAGTTGCTGCTGCTCCGGCGGAAACGCTTCGCCGTGGAGGAGGAATACAGGACCGCAGTGGTTTTGGCCGCCAAGCATGGCAGGAAAAAGGCACCAGGTGTGGACTGGAAGATGTTCAGTTGATTTGGGACTCTTTAGGAGGGAGTCCTTTTAACAGGAGTCCCTGGTTTTCGCATGGTGTTTTTCCGGTGATTTTGATGGTAATCTATATGGGTAAATCCTTAGAACCTGGGGAAGAGGTTTTCCCGCTTCCTGGACAGCAAATCCAAGAGTCTCTTTGGACAAGTCAATGTATATACACTATAGTCTATAGTCACTATAGTATAGGACTTGGTCGTAGAAAACCCAAGAAGACCCTTTTTAGGAGGTGTTCGCCTACAAAAACCATCAAATACATATCAAATACAAAAAAACAATCTGTTTTTTGTGAGGGAAAACCCAGGTCTTTCACGCTTTATGGACCCCTGGGTGGAGGACTTGGATCTCAACCCGAGCCAGCCGAGTTTGTGCAGGACTCATGTGATGTACAAGGCCCGGACAACGGGAGGAGTGTCACAAGGGCAGCAACCTTGAAAGCACCGATGTGTTCAGTATTTTCCTCACCTGCCATGCCAGGTGAGTGTTGTTAATGTGTTGTTAGTTTTTGTCAGAGCTCTCAACTCCTCTCTTCTCCTCTCCTCTCCTCTCCTCTCCTCTCCTCTCCTCTCCTCTCCTCTCCTGCTCCTCCACCTCAACTGCGAGCTCTAGGGCACAGTGGGCACTGCTAGACCTCAACCCCGAGGGCTAGGTCGCAGTGGGCATCACCGGACCTGAGCCAGATAGAATTCCAGAAAGAGCACCAAAAGAGATGCCAAATAGATGGCCAGAAGAATGTCAAAATATATGCCATTGTATGGATCGCTCGAAGTATATAAAGTTCTTTTTGCAAGCTGTTTGTTTTTTCTTCCGGGCTTCTCCTCAGGGGCTTGTCAAAATAGACTATCTCTTTAGTAGATCCGCAAAAGTGTGGAGGCTGGCTGCAAAAAAGTGCTTTAGTCACGTCCCCCATCAAACCCTAGAGAGTTCAAGAACTCTTTCTATCTCCAATCTGCTGGCGGTGACTGGAATGCCAGTTGACTTCAGAGCATTGCTATGTGCGTTCTCAACCGCACACACTTGTGTGGACACTTCTGTCAATCAACACGTGTGCAGTTCGCGGCAGTGTGCAGGGCACTGGTTGTGTTGCCTGGGACTATTGAACGAGTAGCATGTACAACAATTGGCTTGGATGATTATATGCAGGATTGCATGATGGGTGTATCGCCCGTGTATGGAGGACACCCTAAAAGGGCCAATCATGTTATTGTTTGGGATTTTATCTTGAAAGAGGAAGGACATCCAACGCGATTCAGATAGAGTTGGCAAACAAAACGCTCCATGATCTTTGAAAGATCTTGAAAGATAGTCTTTGGGTCCCCATGGTCTTTGGAGCAGCCTCCACGACAGAGGCTGAGAAGCGACGGGAGGAGATGCGATCGAAGAAGCACTGGGTGTGGCCTGGTGTGTTGTGAACACTGCCTAGCGGGGCTCAGATATTCAGAGATTCACAACCCTTAAAAATCCCTCAATTCTATGGATTTGAGGGTCAGTTTGGCCCCTACCATGCTGCTCTCGTCCATGAGCATTGTTCATGCTGCTCTCGTTCGGATGAAAGAATGTAGCAAGGTCACGATCCCGTCGGAAGGTCGGTTTCTTTGGGGATGTTCCAACCATCATGGAGTAGATAGAAGATACATTGATGACATGAACACCACATGAACACCACCTCTCATCCACTTCATCTTGGAGATTCTTGGAGTAAATAGGTACAACATCCACTTGAGGTTGGATCTTGAGACCGGCAAGTCGCTGTAATTGGAACATGTTGAACATACTGTGTGGACATCCCAGAATTTGCTACTGGGACCGCAGGTTTCTAAGTTTGAGTAGGTGTTTTTGAATGGTTTTTCTAGCTTTGGCAGAGCCAGAAATCCAAATCCATGGGTTCTATATATTCAGCGCTTGAAACGGTGACTCCCTTGGGGCAAACGGTAGCGCTAGCTCTAGCGCTACCGGGGGCATGTCTGGGCGTACGTCGATGGTCCGATGTGACATGCACATAGACCAGAGGAATCTGGCATACACAGAACGCAGGCTAACATAGACCATGCGACTTACGGCAAAAAACTGGGGTTCTCTGAATTTGGTCTATAGTCTTCTTACCCCCAGACGTTAGTGTTCAACTGGCTGTGTTTTGAGCAGCCAAATATTGACCAGGGCTAAACACAGCCAGGTCTCTATAGTCTTACCCACAGCCAGGGTCTGGAGTGTGTGTGATTTGTGTGATGAACAAGGGTGATGACATGTTAGATTATATGCCCGCAACAACGAGCAGCGTAAAGCTCAGAGACAGATGGCCCAGGCCAGCTCAATCTGAGAAAAGCAAGCTCAATGCGAAAAAGAACGCGCACACGCGTACAGATCTCGCGAGAAGGCTAAGAGTGAAGGTGCGCTGGATCTATATAATGCAGGTGTGTTATATCTCCGTTGGAAGACTTCTAATACTTGCATGACCATGGACCATGGCACTAGATGAGGTTGCGCATCGATTCCAAGAACCATGATCTTCCATGCACACGTTTGATTGTGTATTTTGACCCTGAGAGATGCACACAGCTTTCACAGCAACGTAGCGTCACGTGAAAAAAACACCTGTGTCACACTGTCACATCTGTGTCCTTGGACCTTAAGCCTTAAGCTAGACTGACAACATGAACCCACGGCCCCGGGGGGCCCTGGGCGGCAACCAAATAAATTCAACAACCCAGACGCGACCCTGGACCCTCTGTTCAGTAGGGGCCGGACCCTCATCCCTAGGGTTTTGAGGGACCAAGAGCTGTTTGGAGCGTGTGGGAAAATAGTAGAGCTTGCCAACAACGCAGCACCTTGCCTCTTTGAAAACGAGCACAACAAGGACGACCAGAGACAAAGTTTTGTGCCCTGGCTGTGTTTGGATGTATAATATATGTATTTGCCCACATAGGTCTTGCACAGCACTTCTTCACAGATCACATAATTTGCTCTTCACGAATTCCCAGACTGCATTTGTCACTTGGTGAACCCAGCCGATTTCCGGATGGCCAACACGGACGAAGAGACGAAGCCACGTTCTGCCGCGGGTCGTGCCGTTCTGCAGCACGCGGTCACCGAACTCAGCGCAGGACACTTCCGAAAGCCTGCTCACGGTTCAGGACTGCGCAGGGGGCTGTGGTGGTGCTGTGGTGGCGGTCCCGGTTTCTGACGCAAGACAAAGACACAAAAGCAAGTGCCGTGACGTGTAGCTGATGATGCACCACCAAGGTGTACAGTTGAATGAATGTAGATGACACGCATTAAAAGGTGGTTCCAAGATTTTAATCATGGTTCCTGGTCAATACCGTCAATACATTAGTTGTGCATGGTTGTGGAATGTATCTCTTCGTTTTTCAACAACTGCAAGGTGCTATGGCGGGGGTTTGAGAACGGCAGTAGACGTAGACTGTTTTTTGGTCCTTTTCCCAACTATCCCGTTCTGGCCGTAGACGTGCCTTTTTGACCACGGAGGCTTCTCAGGGAACCTGTTCCGGCACCCCAGGAAGCCTTGAGGGCCTTCGCAGAGGGCGCTTGCGCCACCTTTGCGGAACAATACCAGGCACCTTTGATGAGGCACGCAAACATATGGCTGAAGTGAAGCGTTGTGGCGACTTGCTGTTGCAGATGTTGCAGCTGCAGGACATTCATGTTCAAGTTGTGAATGCTCATGTCGGAGATCTCCTGTCTTTGCCCTGTGCTACCCAGAAGACAATATTTTGGTTCACGTTGTGCCTTTCTTTGGAGAAAAAACAACACTGTATGTTCACAAAGGTTCAACTTCCGCATTTCGGGAGGTTGTGTTTGGTCTCCAACCAGGGGACAAGAGTTTGAAACCCAGGACATGTATAGGTCAATGAAGCAGACGGTGTTGTTTCGTGCAATCTTGATGTCGTGTGACGTCCTGACGGGAGTACCCAGGACGGTCGAAAAGTGGATCACCCTTTAACCTTCTTATGGGATTCGTTTCGCCACAGGAGGATGGCTGCCCTGCTCCGATTGATGAAGTGTTCAAAATCCCATTGAGGATTGGATGTGGGCTGGCGGCTATGAGGATTGGAGATCACTCCTTCCAGGTTTTAGGCGTACTTTGTTTCCAATTGGTTTTGGAGCGATCGGACGCTACGAACGGAGCATTTCGGGAAGCCCGCGACTCGAACGGAGCGATCGGACGCGAAGCGAGTCCGGGGCGAAACTGGCCTTACTAGGAGGAAGCTACGAACGGGGCGTACTTGTCTTGGCGTGGTTGTGGCCTAAATGATGAGCCTGTGAACACCCGCCGAGTCTTAGTGCATTTCATTGATGGTGATTTGCTTGCGCCAAAGGCATGTTCCACTTGACACCGATTCTGTTCCATGGACGCCAGAAATTTCAATGAATGTCTCGTTTGGTCCTCCGCGATCATGCACCTTGGCGTTGGAATGCTGGCGTGCCCGACATGCTGTTGGAATACCTGACAGGCGTGTTTGTTGTGATGTCTCTTATTTTTGTCCACCATCCACTTGGAAAGCGTCCAGAATCCTGGAGTTTGGCCATTTGCGTCCGGACTGTCGCTTCCACAAGAAAACATGTGTGGATGATCATTGTTGACACCACTTGGGTGCAGATTGATCTCATCAAGGATGGATGCTTCTCCTCTTTTTCTGTCTTCTGCTACGGGCCTACTTCACTGCGGGGGGTCTTTGATGGAATGTGCACTCACATCACATTCCCAGACACTCCATGTATGCCATATTTGCCTACATTGTGGTGGTTCCAGGGGTCAATGTAGGCACATATGCCAATCCCATGGAGTGTCTGGGATTGCTACCGTTTGAGGGCTTTCAATCGATACTTTCCTGATCATCCAAGTCCCCTTCGACACTCCGATGCTCACTTCTGTATATGTGGACACCTGTCCACGGTGTCATGCAGTGTCTATGTTCGGCATGGCACCCTCACACTCGTTCACGGCCTCAGGGAATGCATCACGTTGAGCGAATCGAGAGTTGATCGGTGTCAGGGGCGTCTGCGTGGCGGTACTTGTTATCCCTTGCGTAGGGAGCGAATTGCCTGACAGGTGGGTCACTTGTTCTCCAATCCAATTGGATGAATACAGCACCGCACTGCGATTCTTAGTCAAGATGCAGTGTGTATAGACAAAGGACGTTTGAACCACATATCCTGATCTTCATTCACTGCGGGTTTTTTTGCAATGCTTGTTGTTTTCAAGTATAGTATTATTGATATTATTGCGTATGCTGACTGCAAAACAGTTGTTGACATCATGCAAGACTTGATTTCCACCTGCCGGGTTCCCAATGACTGGCCCCATCGACAATGGTGGTGTGGCATCTTAGAAATCGTGCCAGTGTGTCGGGCTCATCAACCGACAACATCTACAACCGCGTGTCAAGCCACTGCAACCTTCGTCGAAAAATCACGTTCCACTTAGATACAGAGAAGACTCCGGCAGTTATCCAGGAGAGTGCCCCCTTTCCACATCAGGAGTGGCCACGCATTCAAACCTCTTTCCATTCTCCTGGAGACCCGTTTTCACGCCTGGAAACCCCCAGCACCACTTGGCCAAGCGTGTCGGGCACTGCAATCCATCAAACATGTCATCCAGTTCCTTGACTTTTGGTATTCCTGGTCGCCCGAACCGGTCTTTCTCGTTGTTGAGAGGCGGCTGGCGTGTTAGAGGCCTCGTTGCAGCGCTTGCAACAGCAATTGCAAGGCCGATCTGACAGATGCGGTGGTTTGATGCTATGCTCGGGAAGAGGCCCAAATAAAACTGATGGCATGGACCAGACTCGAAGATGTTCCGTATACCAACCCGACAAGGTTCTCAAGTTCCATGCTTCATCTTCCACGGCGTAGTTGTAGATTGTTCCAGTCAAAACATGACAGGTCATGGAAGTTCTTGGAAGGTCTGGGGAAGGTCTTGGTAACTTCAACTCGTCGATGATTTTCGCTTGACCATGGCAGTCCAAGGAGTATATCCCTTGGGTTTGGCACTTGGTCCCCTAAGGCCCCCTTGGTGGCCAGACCCCTCGCCAGGCGCTCGCAAGAAGACCAACGCTTGCCGACAGGATGATCCGGTTGGAGCAGATGTTTTTCCGATGCCGTTCGTGGTCCTTTCACGGCAACGAGGCATAGATCGAGTCAATGCTGTCATAGTTCGAGGCCCCGGGAGACGTACCGATGTGTAAGTAGGCAATGAACTATGTATTACGTTGTTTTTTTGGTCAGGAGTGGTCAGATCCACAGGTTCTGAATCGAAGAAGCTTCGAAGTGGATCGACAACACATTTATGATGACTGATGACTTTTAAACGCTTGGATCGGATTGAACAATTCCATGAGTCAATTCCAGACAGATGTTTCACTCCTAATCTTCCGCGCCGCAGCATCTACTCGAATCTAATCGGGGAGAGGCAGAACGTCGCGTGGACGGTACCAGTTTGTGTTTGTCATCGACAGGCTTATGGCTGTCTGAGAGCTCGTCACTGTGAGCGTGCACTTTTCTTCTGGATTCATTTATATTCAATAAAGCAACAAAAATATGTATCATAGCAAGAAAAGTATAAAGATGCAATAAAATCAAAGAAAGAATGTGGTTGAATGAATATTGAATGAATTGGGATGATATAATTTGCTATATTTTAGAGAGAGGGGGGTTATGGGGGGTGGAGTTGTGAAAGTTGTGATTTTGTAAGGACTGTCATCCACCTCATGGCCAGAGAGTCAGATTGGGGCCTAGGCCCCAATGGGGTCTGCAGGTTTTTTTTGGATCAAGGTTTTTTGTTGAACCTTTTGAAGTTCTTTATTTTAGATGTTTGAGGTGTTCTATCGTTTTTGTGACTTGCATTGATTTGATTGGAAGCAGATGCTCACAGATGCTCACAGCTCAGGATGATGCTCACAAAGTCACTTTTTTCACGGACGCTAGTAGTGTAACTTTTTTGCGCACGATGGTTGGTAACGCGTTCTGTTTCGGATAAAAAAGATGTTTCTGTTCTGTACCCGCTGATGATCTCGCTGAAAAATCAGCGAAAGGATAGAATAAGACCATTGTATCAAACGTGTTTTGCGTGTTTTTGAGTCATGAGATGGGGTGGCATGGTGTGACAGCCACATGTGAGACCTGTTTCTGAGCGCGGAGTTACACTGGCCGAAGCAGAGCCTCCCTACAGCGGCCCCAAGACCTACCCAGGAAAAGTGGTTTCCCCATGTTTCCGCATTAAATCTGAGCAGATGGAAAAGGTATGAAAAAGGTTCCTGGATCTTCCCAGTGACCTTTTGATCCCTGCTTTGAGGTCACAAACAGCTTGTAAACGGTCACTGGGGACTACAAAGTGTGGTCGGAAGGTGGTTCATTCTTTGGCAGCCGGGTCTGGAGGAGTTTCTGCAGAGCGGCCATGATTTGATGAAGGCCTTTGCCGCCTTAGTGGTCCGGGTGGCCCAGCGAGAAGCGTGCCCTCTGCCGAGCGACGTGGACACGTTCGCCCGAGATACGTAGATCCCAGACACTCCATGGAATTGCCATAGGACTGCCGATCAGTTGGGGTGGTTCCAGGGGTCAATGCAAAGGCATATATGCCATACATGGAGTGTCTGGGGATTACAACAAAAAATCGATGATAGAACTTGACGAAGCTGAGGCTGATGAACACATTCTGGAAGATCTTGCTCGGTATCCCTGAAGATACTACTGCAGGTCCACAAGAGAGAAGCCAAAAGAAACTACGAGGTGATTGGTGTCCCACCAGAATCCAAGCCCGAACCCAGCTCTTCGGTTCGGGTCCCGAACACGATCCCAACTGGGGATCGTACTCTTCAACCACTTCGAACTGTCGCAGAACATTCCCACATCGTTTCTGCTCGTTTCCGCTACGTTTCGGCCCGGCTTCGCCGGTCACCGGTCACACGAGTTCTTTGAAGAGTTCGGCTTCGGCTTCGGCTTTGGTGACCACACGTCTTGGACCAAGCGAGGTTTGCACCAACGGATTCCGGGTATCCATCAATAGCCACTAATTAAGGGGGGTGGAAGCCATCACCACTAGGGTGGAGGCCATGGCTACTAGGGTGGAGACCATCGCTAGTAGGTTGGGGGGCCATCGTTACTAGGGGTCCTGGTTGTTTGTTTGTTGTTCGCCACTCAGGATCGTGATGAGATCGATGAGTCCTCAAGCAGGCACGCGATTCGCGATGCGCAAACCGCAGCACGTTCATTGCGGAGCTCTCCGGAAGTGCAGCACACTTCGGAAGTGCAGACACAGATCATCCATCGGACTGGAAGCGTTACTTATCATTTTCATGGGGTGTATGATGGTGTAGGTATGTAACTGGATCCAGTTCCATTATGATGGTCTACGTATATATTCTTATTATGTAACTTCCAGTCTCATTGTGATGGTGTACATGTATACAGTCCCATTATGATAGTCTGGGAGGGGCCCATTTGAAGCTGGCTCAACTGTCTCAACCGGTCGTGCTCCGGTCTTTGCTGGGGTGTCCGGGGTCGGTGGGTCCGGGGGGGGGGGCTGCCAGCAGACTTGCTCTGACCAACGACTAGATTGATGTGTGTTCTAAATCCTCCGAATCCCCCGACATTGCCAGTCCGGACTGCCGAGAAACGGCCAGGGGTGGTTCCAGGGGTCAATGGGGCGGCATATATGCCAATCCCATGGAGTGTCTAGGGATCTTCATCAAGTTGATCTCCCAAATTCGTTGCCTCTGACATTATACAACACCATGGAAGTGTTGAAGCCCCATTGGTGCGTCTTCAAAACTGTGACACCCAGACCTCATGCTTTCCTCACTCGGCACTCTATCGACCGGCCTCTTGTCAGGCTTCAAGCGCCTTTGATGGAGCTCCATCAAGCCGCTGCACGCTGGAGCTGCTTGGAAAAAAAAAAATTGCATTCCAGCAGCCACAAAAGGGTGCTTAATGGAGGTTAGGGGTGCCCAGCTACTCCACTCACTTGGGGACTAAGCACCACCCCTTTGTGACTCCTGGTTTGTATTTTATGTTTATTTCCGATCAGGAGGTGAGGAACACTATGGACCACGTAGATGACATGCCACAGATGACGGATGGGTGCGCCGGAAAAGGGAAAAGCGGAGTCATTTGGATCATGTCCATGTGTCTTTGTGGGTGGCACAGGCTTGTGAAGCACACCAAAGTCTAGTGGTGTTGCCTAACTCGGTGGTCTCCAGACTCGAACCTATATGAAGAAAAGGAAGAGAGGTCTAATTTAGTTTGCTATTAGGTTGGAAGCCATCGCTACTAGGTTGGAGGCCATCGCTTCCAGGTTGGAGGCGAATCGCTGTTAGGTCTTAAGGATGTTTTGCAAGACTTATCATGGGTTAAGCTTTTGGGCTCGCTGCTTGGGAGGAATGTCAGATCAACTGCTCGTGGCCTGTCACGGATTTACTTGGGTGATGCAGAGGGAGTCAACTGCCACTTTACATGAGTGTTCGTTTGAGGTCTTTGGCACGTACTGTACCACCTTTGGAAGAAATTCCGTGATGGCTAGATTTGTTCACCTAGGACAGTCGCCCTCACCTTCAGTTGAACTCTATGCCGGAACATGCCCAGGCATTTTTTGCTATCATTGACCTGTTTGGTGATATTCAATCCACATACCAGGAACCTCCAACAGGCCCTCCCTGCCAGCATTGACTTGTTCGTCGCTCACCAATGAACGTATTGACTCCAAATTTGATAAAGGATGATAAAGCATACCCAGGTTATACCCTGTCCACTTCAGTAATGTCTTCAGAGATGTGTGGATCAGAGCTTAAAGGGCAGACAAACTTGAAGGAATATCTCTGTGTCGTTGATCTAGCACCTGGAGGACAAGGTTCTGATCTTCAAGACCCGGTTTTGCTGGATGTTTATATCAACATACTAGTAAGGAGTGCATCACTACTAGTAGCTTCTTGTTACTAGTAGCGATGCCCCTTTTACTCTAGTAGCGATACACTTGTTTCGAGTAATATATCCCAAAGATTCCCAAAGACTCATTGGACCCTCACAACTAGGGTTTTGGGACCTCAAATTTCTAGCAGTTGGTTCGGGTCCGATGAACATGAATTCCTGTGGGCAAATCCCTTCGCAGACGTTTTTTGCTGCCGAGGACATTGGGCACACAGCGGGGAGCTGTGACGCTGCAGCTGCGCATGCTGCGTCCATCGTTTCGAGCCCAAAAAGACACCGAATTGCTGGGCCTGCCGCTGCATTCGAGACACTTATCTCGGTTTTAAGTGGAGCTTGCTTTGGGCTTCAAGTTCCAACGGAGCTCCCTTTCTTGGCCGCGATCATCCACCGAGCTCGCTACGTGCGCGACAGACCCTGAGGGTTTGCATTTGGCACGGCCGAAGTAGAATTCGCAAGACTCTGTGGCGGAGCTGGGCACCGGGACCCGTTGACCTAGTGCTGGCGGGTGGAGTGGGACGGACGCTTACTGCAGAGCAGACCTTAGATGTCTAGACACTGACAGCTTTTCTTGGACAATCTTGAATAGAAACGAGATCCTTGGATATGGATGTTGTCATTAGCCTGGTTTTGTGGATCAGATGCTGATTTCGGCCGAATGCTCGGGAAGGTTGTTTTGTTTGTCTTGGTTCCTTAGGAAAAAAAAATCCAGGCGTTGGCAGGAATGCTCTTTTCTGGAGAACACGTTGCGATGTACCACTTCAGTGGGACGTGTTCTTTGGGTGATGGTTTCATCTTCCTGTGCCGAGGGGTCGAAGCCAAACGCAACGGTCGAGGGTCGAAGCCAAAAATATTGTGTTTTGATGTTTTTGGGGATGATTCCAAGTTCGGGTGCGAAATGGCGATGCGAAGCAAACCTTTCAGCTCGCAGCTGTGGCGATGCTCGAATGTGTGAGTTCAGCGCCATGAAAAGCAGATTTGCTTTGAAGACAGATGTGGTTCCCTTTCATACAGCTGCATGAAATAGGGCAGACTGGTTACTACTGGTGGGTTACTGGTGGCTCAGAGAAAGCACTGCAAAGTTCTTTTAACGCTGAGTCAGCCCACGAGACGAGGTCATTCGACGTGGAGTTGTCCACCACCGCATCGGTCGATTGATAGGGCAGGTCGTCTGGCTTAAGGCGGGTCGTCTCCGGCGATGGAAGACCATGGGTGGAGTCTTGACACTCGTCACTTGGCACCAAAAAGCAAACAAATGGGATGAAGAGTCTGAGTGTTCCAAGCTCGTACTGGTTTTTGAAGACCATATCAGATTTGTTTGACAAAATATCCTAGCATGAAACTGGGTAGGTGGAACAGGATGGAACATGCCATGTGTTCTTGAAAGACATACGTATTATATATATATATTAGATATCATTGAAAATTAGAGTTATTAGGTGGTGGCGAGCCCAAGCATCACCCAAACAAGCTCTGAGCTGAGAGGCTCTTCATGCCCCCTACTATCATCAAAGGTAGGTTCACCACTGGTAACTGGCTTTGAGGCATGTTTCGAAAGAAGGTTCAATCCGGGGTTATACAATTTGGAGTTGATGTTTTTGTGTCCCTTTGCGAGGCAAGTAGGCCCTTCTGATCTTCTGATCTTAGAAAAGCACCAAATCAGGTCCCGGAACTTTGGGCAGTGCATGAACTTGGCTTTTTTTCCTATCCCAGACACTCCATGGGACTGCCATCTGTGCCGATCAGGCCAGGGGTGGTTGACCTGAATTCGGCGGCAGTCCGAACTGGCAGTCCCAGACAGGTTGTGTTTGGGTATTGTTTTCCTGAAGAGCTGGCTTCTTCTCTACCCCCACCCACCCAACGGCACTTCTTCGCGACCCCACCAACGGCGCCGCACACTGCGACCCAACGGCCGTCTTCCGATCGTTGACTCGATCGCCCCCCGGTTGAACCCACAGGATGTTTAGGGCCCAGCCCGAGGGGGTGGGGACACCCAGTCAATCTAATAGTAGTCAATCTGCAAACAGCAAAGGTCGACGTTCTCACTCTGAACTGGATTTCGGCCACCAACTGAACCATCATCATCCACTGGGCCCAGGGGAAATAGGATAAACATTGGGAGAAGATGGCGAGTCCCATGGCTTGGCCTTTGGTAGAGGGCCGTTTTTGGCTTGCGTACAGCCTCTTGAGCAGCATTGTATTCTACCCTGCCCCTCCCATTCGGCGCTGCTGGACATAGATTCTCCCAGCCGCTCTCAACTGCTAGCGGCTTACGTGAGTTTACAAAGGTAGCCCTTTAGGGGATACCTTGAGTCTGTCTCTGCTAATAGCCTTCTTCGATGCTTCGAGCAACAAAAAAAAAAAGTTTGTCTTTTTGTCCAGTTCCTTAGAGACACCGATCCCGCTTCAGGAACGCGGGCGCCCCCCCGAGCGCACCGCTCCAAGGTGACGGCGCTGGGTCCCGCACTGCTCGGGACGCGGGCTGGGACTCTCTTGGACCTGGGCAAGGCGCTCAGACCGTCGCCGCTCAGACCATGGGGGGCAGTGACCTGCGTCGTCTCCGCGTCGTCAGACTACGTCGTCTCCCCGGCGCGGGGGGGGGGGGTTCCCTTCCCCGCAGGTCATGAGGAAAAGAAAAGCCACCTTCCCAAGCAGGTCGATCCAGGGGACCCGGCATCTTTATGGCGTTACAGTTGGTTAAATAGGTACGTAGCTTCGTGAGGGGCCCCCCGGCTGTTCCAGCGGTGCTTGGAACAGGGACCAGGCACGAGGGGATTAAAGAGAAGGATGCCCAGTGCTCTCGGGCTGGGGGACCACTCCAGCCAGCTGCCGCGTTGCGGATCCACAGGTGGCAGGATGGGGGTGGAAGTAAGAGGGAGAGGGATTGTTTTAGAGGTACTGTAGACGATTTCATTCAGCCTGTCCACAGACCAATTCATACTTTTATGAGGAAGCATGATTGTTGAATCTTCCGTCTGAGTCTCAGCTTAACAAGTCCAAGAGCCTAAAAAACACAGTCAACCGCAGGTTTTCTTAACACCTTCGATACATGGATCTTGAGGGTCTGTGGCACGCTTGCTTCACATTACCAGGGTCTGTGGCACCGTTCGGTCCTCCGAAGGACTCGCTCGGACTGCTCAGGGTCTTGTTTGATAAATTGAGGTGACATAGATCTCCTTTGGGCTAGGTCATGGACTCTTCACATCATCAATGGACTCTCCTTCCACTGCCATCTGAGACTCACCAAAAACATCAGCACTGCCCAGCACCCCCCTCCTTGTCCTGAAAAGGGCCACCTTGAGAAATTTGGATCCCCTGGACCTGGTACCGTCGAAACCGCTCCAAACCTCCCCTTCTTCTCCACACCACCGGGCCGGAGGTGGATCCCTGCGACGGGAGAGCGGCCTTGGAAGATTTGGGTTGGCTCCAACAGAGCCTTGGACCAAATGGACCGAACGGGAGGCCGACCTTGGTGAAGATCAGGGGCGTGGAGGTTTTACTATCCCTGAAGCGCAGGGATAGGTGGGACTTGTCCCCCCTCTCAAATACATTCATTTTTTTATAATGTTAACCTACTTGTTAACCTCTGATTAATAAAGAGGGTGGGTGTGCTTGGGAGAGCACACACTAGCTCAAAACCCTTAGAAAACACTGTGAATACCGTGCAAAATTTCAAAAAACTGCTCTGAGAACAGGAGCACCCGTTCTGTTAATAAACGGGGGGTGCCAAATCTTGAAATGTTGGTGGACCCTAAATATAGTTCATCCCAGGTTCCAAGAAAGTTTTTTGTTTTTACACATATTGTTATATACTATTTTTGAAACATGTGCTAACTTTATTTCGGATCCCTTTATGAATCAGAGGTCGACATGAGATGTGTTTTTTCTCCGAAGGTCATGAAGTACCGTGGGGTCTCAACAGGGATGATTCGGCCTCATAGGACCCTTTGACCGGCCTAGTGGTCCTGGAGATGTCAGGATGAGGTTACTTAGTTCCTGAAGAGGTTACTTAGTCTCTAAGAAGTCACTTTTAAGGCCAACATGGAATGCATGATTTTGACTTCTGGATGACTTCATTATATACAGGGTGGCCACCGAGAGAAGTTGGTCAACATTTTCATCCTGGTTTTGCTATGAAATCCCCTGTTGGGGAGCTTTTGTTGTTCCCCACCTGTCAGGTGAGGGCTGTTAGATTTTATGTCAGACGCCGTCCTCCTCCTTCTCCTCCGCCTTTGCATCCTCCTCCTCCGCCTCGTCCTCAACGCTCCGGATGGCAGTGTTCCGCGAGTTCCGCTTGGCAGTGTTCCCCGCCGGACCTCAACCCGGGTGTCCAACTGACCTGTGTGTTTCCTGTTTGACAGCATCTAGTGACAGGCGGCATGCGGACATGATTTGGCATGTTTTGCTTACTTAAAACATTGGATCTTTGGTTCATATTTCCAGGTGCAATGAGATGAAGCCGGGATGTCTCACAATACCAACATTTTGCTATAAAAAGACAAGTGTGGCCTGATTATGTGCATTACTTGCATGTTCTAGTGGATTGAAAGGTCATGGTGGGGATCTCTCGCAAGTGAAGTAATTTTTCGGGCTTCTTGAGCAAGTGCAAGTTATGGGGGGCCTGACCTTGTTCACTAAGTTGGGAATTCTCGACTCTAGGACTTCTGCATGCATAAATGAGTTGTATGTTCTTATCATCCCCAGACACACCATGTATGCAAATTCGGCCTGCACATTGGTGGTTCTTGGTGGTGAATGTAGGCCAGGCCATTTGCTTGTGCTGTCTCATGGAACGTTTGGGAATTTATCCACCAGTCGGAGTGATGAATGCATGACGTTTGTTTTTGTGTCTTTGATGTTACTTTTCATGTTCTGCTTGCCCAAAAATTGGACCTTGAAACTTGTGGGGGCAATCCAGAGAAAATGTTTACTATTGTTTACTCATCGCTTGGACAGCTTTATTGTTCGATATCCGATAGTGTTGGAGGAAATTGCTATATCGCTTCTCACTTCTAGACTGCTGTCCTCATTTTTTTGACCATGATGCCTTGGAACCTTCAGGTTGTTCTTTCATGACTTGATGACGCTGAATGACTGCCAAATTTGTTTGTTTTGATGTTTTCAAGACTGTTTGGTGAAGGAGGATCACTCTCGAAGTTGAACATGTTATTCAAATTGAATTTGGGCCGGTTTGGGTTCCTGGCCAACCTCCATTTCGGACGGGATTTGAAGGAGCAAGCACTGTTTGCAGTGTTTGGGTAGAGCAAATCACTACTCTTCCGCTCTTCAAACTCTGTCGTTTCACAGCCACACCGCGCCCATGGTCGTTGAGCACAGAACGCCGAGCGAGGTACATCGAGATCGGCTTCTTCACAGACTACCGGAACCAAGCCTGGCACTACTACATGACGAATGAGACCACCTATGCGTCCTGAATGAACATGAAAACTATACCTACTACTTGGAGTCGACCTGTTCATACCTCATGCAATGGGTATACGGATCATGTATACAGATCTACCCTGTTTTGGGTTCAGGGGATGGTATTTTCTGGAGGCTACTTGTACGGACGAAGTCGAAGACGGTTCCCGCCCAGTCCGTCTCCGGTCCTACATGTCTCAGGGGGGTGATTCAGTAACAGTCTACCCTGTGCGACTCCGGGCCCCTTCAGCAACACATGTGCGGGTTTGCTTCGTTGGATGTGGCGATGTTTGCTTCTACGCTGGACATGTTTTGTCCATTCTTGCTCGAAGAAAGACGTTTTGTCCATTCTTGGCGCCATCCACAATGGGGACCAAAGCAGAGTCAATTGATTCAAAGGGGGGAATATTATAGCAATATAGGAGGTGTTGGACAGGCACACCAACAATGAAGACTGAGAATCAGATGCATCCTCAGCACCATCATGCACCATCATCATGTGACTATGCTGAACTGCTAGCTGCTAGACCAGGCTAGACCATGCTAGGCTCCAACCTTCCAGATTCACATACCCAACCCGAGGTCCGGTGATGGGAAACATGTAGGCGGTCTTGCCGGGTCCAATTGCCTTCGAATGTATGTGGATCGATAGGGCTTGAGAAGGCTTACCGACCCTCCAAGACCCCAATTCCCTCAGCCTCGCACTCTGGACGTTCATCGAATACGCCGGACGGTAAAAACAAACGCGATGCTTCCGCGACCTGCACGACGCGTCGGTTTCGCTCGGCTCCGGCTCCGTTTCATGTCCAACTAACCGGAGGCCTTTTTATGGCTGAACTCCATCTCCTATGCGAACCTGGATTTTCTGCGCGAGGTCACTGTGCGTTCTGTGTGTGGGGGGGCCGGACGTTCTTAGGTGTCGAGCTTTAAAAAAGCCCAGCTTCCTTGGCCTCGCAGGGTAGAGGGTGGTGTTGATTCGCTTCAGATTGGCGCTGGTGGAGCAGGGGTTTCCCCGAGGAGACACTGCAGAGGACTGAGAAATGACTGGTGGAAAACTGGAAGAGAACGATCTGATGTACAGAGGTTTCAGAGTAGTAGATGGCACGGCTACTACATCACCCAACTTGGGACATTTGTGACCACTCAATCCACTAGTCGACAGACGAGACATGATAAAAAGATGAGACTGTCGATGACTAGACGGTGTTGCCCAGAGATTTGTGGTGTTCACTCTGGATGAGACCCACATGGAACCTGAAAACCACGTCGGGTTGGTACTCGGAGTTCATCGTCTTCCAGTCTGGTCCATGCCATCAGGTTCCATGTGGGTCTCTTCCCGGGTGTACCTGGTTTTGCTTAAGGTGTTCTTTTGAGGGTCCCCCATGGGTGAACTTGCTGGCATGGAGAATTGGCTTCGGGAACCCGAAGAAGCCAATCCCTAGGACAGGCAGTTCGGGAAGATGGGACAAATCCACTGGGGCAACCAGAGCTACAGCTTTTGGTTCTTTTCCCTCCTTTCACATCATTTCACCAGAAACCGTGTGTTTCGTTTTCCCTTGCGAGGCATGCCCGGAAGCTGCCAAGCTGGCGCTGCTCTTGAGAGCAGAGGCGACGCGTGCACATCTCTGAAGAGTGACGGGAAGAGATCCACCATGCTGGCGCAAACGGGTTCAAAGATGTTGTTTCACGCTAGTGTAGTGTATTCAATGTCTCACTCGTGCTACCTGTTAAGTTGCTTATCTCTGGTCTTTCGCTAAAACCTGGTGCTTCGTCCGGGAGAAGTGTTTTTGGTCTACGCGCCATACCCAAAAACATTTGTTTAAAGGCCAAAGATGGTGTATAAGCACTTCCTTTGTGTTTCCCCAAAGTTTTTCAGTAACTGACTCTTTGGCCAAGATTGACCAGGCTTGGCCAAGTTTGGCCAAGTTTGGCCAGGTTTGGCCAAGTTTGGCCAGGTTTGGCCAGGTTTGGCCAGGTTTGGCCAGGTTTGGCCAGGTTTGGCCAGGTTTGGCCAGGTTTGGCCAGGTTTGGCCAAGTTTGGCCAGGTTTGGCCAGGTTTGGCCAGGTTTGGCCAGGTTTGGCCAAGTTTGGCCAAGTTTGGCCAGGTTTGGCCAGGTTTGGCCACGTTTGGTCAAGTTTGTCGAACACATGATTGAAACAAGTGTTTGTGAGGTTTTTCTTTGGCCAAAGAAGTGCTTTTCATGGCCAAATTGAAAAACAATAAGTGTTTTTGGACATCGGAAATTAAGCCTGGCCAAACTTGGTCAAACCTGGCCAAACTCGGCCAAACTTTGCCAAACCCGGCCAAACCCGGCCGAACTTTGCCAGACCTTGTCAAACTTGGCCGAGCCTGGCCAACCTTGGCCAACCTTGGCCAAACCTGGCCAAACCTGGCCAAACTTGGCCAAACCTTGCCAAACTTGGCCGAACTTGGCCAAACCTGGCCAAACTTGGCCAAAGTTGGCCAAACCTGATCTGAAGACAAACCATCAGCCTAATACAGGTTGCGGGCAGAGACAAAGACTAAGACCGGCTAGTGGTGACTGGAGGAACATATACCAGCGATAGGATCCTTAGGTCTTAGGTTGTGTTCATTTGGAAGGCTCCTCGGAAGGCGCCAGTCTTAACTCTTGAGGCGTGCTCCAATATTCAGGAGAAGCTGTACAATTTTACAAGAAGTGTTTTGAACTTCCCCGCCAGATTCCACGAACACTTCATTGAGTCTAGCGATAGCAGCCCATGCCGAAAGCACTTGTTACATTTAAAAACGCAAACCCCAAGCAACTTAACAGTGCTACCTTTGGCTCAAGGTGAAAACAGGTGCGATTAGTGGTAGTAGTCGGCCACTCACCTGTAACAACAAAAGATGTTCAAGATTGAATCATGCCCAAGCACTCCATGGGACTGCCATAGGGCTGCCGATCAATTGACCCCCAGTCAACCACCCCTGGCCTGATCGGCAGTCCTATGGCAGTCCCATGGAGTGTCTGGGATGGAATATCAAACGTTTTTGCTGGCCTTCAAAGGAAAAGCTTTTATATCATTGGCCTTGATTCATACTTCATATCATTGGGCACCAGAAACTCTTTTATATAGCTGTTGACTGTCTTCCCCCACACCATGCACGGCAGTGCACGGTCTTGGTCAGGAACGCTTGCCCGCACGTGAAGCAGAGTTGCCACTCTTAGATTTGGCTCAGGTGCGCACCGAACGCGAACGGGAACGGCAGGTCCGCACCATCCGGGGCGACGCGGCACGGTGGTGAAAACAGGGTGAACAGCCCAGTTCAAATAGGCGATGTTTGGGCTGATGCGGAGATGTGAACACATCGAACGTCACAAAACTGGCTACATTAATTGGATTAAACGTGATCATACTGTGCAACAGCGACAAATATGTTCCCCTAGGACTACATTGATCATTGAATTGAATTGGTCCTTTAGCCTTAGAAAGACTTCCTATTCTCCAGGACGATCCCAGTGGGAAGTTCGGTCACTTAGGCCTTGAAGTTCGGTCACTGACCAAGGTCACTGGGAAGGTCACCTGCGTCCGCGTGCGTCCGCTTCAGCGTCGATGGATCGGACCTCATGGTGCCCTGAGGATCCATGAGCTCAACTTGCGCATGCTGAACCAGCTATCATCTACTCTACTACATCTACTACTCCTAAAATATGACATCTACACTATAGTTACATCCTCCGGGTGTGTATTTCCAAGAGAATGTTTTTTTCCCCAAACAGTGTGGTCACACTAGGGTTCTTACGCTAATAGAAAAGCAGCTGATGCTTAGATCGCTGAAGCGCGCGGGCGTGAATTGCTAATTCGTTGCTATTTGCAGTACATTCATGCCTCTCGACATCGTCAATGTGCACTTCGACTGCGCAGGCTCGCTGAATCTGGGTGTTTGCGGCGGGTGCTTCCAACGACTGCGCTCTCGTTGTGGTGCCGCGCGCATTTTCGCACATGGTGATCACTTTTCGCGGCAGGCGCAAGGGAAACCTCGTGCTTTGGTGTTCCACACTCACTCACTCCCCACTCTCACTCTCACTCACTCTCCCACTCTCACTCATACTCACTCTCACTCTCACCCACACTCACTCACCCACCTTCTCACACTCACTCCCACTCACTCTCACCCACACTTTTCGTGACAGGTGCAAGGGATCGGAGGTGCTTTACTTCGAAATGCAGGCTCGTGCCAGGTGCAGCACTTTGGACATTGTGGTGATCATCGAGGAGCCTCAGATTTCGTGACAGGTGCAGTGAATCGTGACTTTTGGACGTGTGGCTAGTTTGCAGATTTCGTGGCAGGCACCCTGTGTCCCTCGATGTGCAGATTTCGTGGCAGGCGCAGCACTTGTTGAACCTCGAAGTGCAGATTTCGTGGCAGGCACAGCACTTGGTGAGCCTCACACTCACCCTTTACTCCCTCACACTCACTCTCACTCTCTCTCACTCTCACTCACACACACACACACTCACGCTCACATCACCTCTTTGGACCCCAATTTGTCTAGATCTCTAGACTTTCTGCTTATAGACCTCACACACACACACCTTTTGGGGTCTCTTGCCGGGATCATGTGACCAAAAATAGGACCTGAGCATACCCGGGTTACCCGACTGGGACTCCAACTGGGATAGTCGACCTAGGGCTCTTCAACCTCTGTTGGTTGGAGGTTCCGAAAAGTGATTCAAACACCACAGCCTCAAGGCTCTCCGGGCCGCTCACCGGTGGAACGCAGGTCACCTCTGACGCCTCGAGCGCCTGGCCGGTCCTTGAGGGTGTCCAACGGGTCAAACGTTTGGCACAACACATGGCCGTCGTCCAGGCCGCCTGGCCGTGAAGCGAGTCGTTTTTGTTTTTTGCCGTGGAACTGAGGGCTTTGCCGTGGATGTGAAAGCAAGGAGTGAACTGAGGTAGATTTGTTTCACCGAGATCTGGGTGTTATGTATTTGATGTTGAAAGGTTGCGTGTGTAGTTGTACACAGATCTTGTTTCGGAGCATCACCATGTTCAACATGATGCAAAGGTTTTGGTGGACAAGTGCTCAGAGTGGCCTGTGATACTAATCCTCCATGTTGCACCCAGTTTCACCGGTACAACCAATCAAGGGATTCCAAATACTGGACCCTGGAGTCCTTTGAAAAACATGACTGAGGTACGAACTGAGACTCCAGGTACCTGCTTTGCTGAACTGGGTGAACTTCACACGCTTCGGGTGGGCCTTTCAGAAGGTCGTTGCCTGGGAAGGTCTTCAAAAGCAGACATATACGTTTGGACGTAGACGTAGAATGTTGTTCCCACCAACATGTGGCATGAAAAGATCAATATGTGTATGGTTCGAAGATAGATAGGATCAACAATTTGGATCTATTTGTCATTGTCGTATGCAATATATATATATATATATCCAGGGAGGACCCGGGTGTCCATGAGATCTGCCCCAATTAAAGAGGTCTAGACCTCGGGGTGTCCAGAAAAAACCGATCCCACGACTGGGGGTCCTGGTATCGGGGTCCTCCTGGTATCAGTTCGGACACCTGGTTCCCCACATCGCCCACGACGGTGTCCATCCCTTCAAGGCCAATATTGGAAGAGTGCGGAGACCGAAGAAACCGAGAAATCGGGCGGCACTTGTACAGGCGCCGCTGAAATTGGCACGTTGGGCACTTCGAAACGGCAGAGAGGATGGGTTGCATGGGTTGCTGCAGATGCTGCAGAGTAGGGTCTGCTCATGGAAGTGGACCCCAAAGAAACCCATTGTCCTTTGGGATTGCAGACTTGTATTCCGGAGAGATCTCACGCATTTGGTTCTGTCGGATTCTGACCCACTTTTACTATACTAAGTAAAGGCCATTTTGGAGTGACAACATTCACAGCTGGCGCAGAAGTTTATTCCAAATCAGACGGTGGATTTGCCCATGCATTCACTCAAACCCAATGAGGGCTCCACCTACATTCTCCAACTTTGACTTCCCTGCTTTTTCGCCTCAAAGCACCTAGGCCGCCTAGGCCGCCTTTTTGGCAGAGTGACCGCTTGTTTGGTCGCCCCTTCTTTGCTCTGCGCCAGGATCGGTACCGACTCTGGGTTCGAAGCCCAATTTCATGTCCAAAGGAGGCGTGGCGGTTTCGGTCGTGTTTCAACGGTCGAGGTGAGAACTTACTCGAGGTCGCGGTGGATGGCAGGGTGGTGGCGAAACGCATTGGATGGATTAGGATGGTTAGGAGGCGAAACGCAGGCCGGACTTGAAGAAAGAAGACCCATTGGACAGCACATGAATCTCAGAAGCCGGAAATTAATCTGAGATTTGTGTGAGAGTGTGCCTGAGATTCGCGTGTACTCTTGATTAATCTCAGAAACGAATCTTGAGTGTTCGGGTCCATTTTGAAGCCTTCAGGCTTTGGAAAGAGTAGTGCCTCGATGCCACCAGAGCCTTGGATGATCGGACGGTGCCGGCCTTTTCGGGGAGAAAAGGTGTGGATTTGATACTTCAGGCAAGCCATCTCCAACCCAGGAAGTGCGTGGATGACCCGCAAAACCTGTTTCGGGATCCCCACTCAACATGGAACTTTCCGTTAACGTCCACAGGACTGGTATTTGGCAAAACGGTTCGGGCTTCAGGTCTTATATTCTTACTTGCCACCCAAGACGACTTGTCATACCATGTCACACCTGGTTATATCAAGACAGGACAAAGCAGGGTTGGATGGTGTTCAATGGTTTTCATATTCATTCCCTTCCCTGCTATCTCCTAAAGAAAGAAGGGATTAGGATTCACGCTCTGGCAGCAGTGAAACAATCAAGATATACCTGAGGATATTCCAACTGTGCAAACATGTTGGCCTTTTCATCCCAAAAAGCCGCCAAACAGGCAAGCGTTTTGCATACTTGGAAGATCCCGGTATCAAGATCTAAGAAGCTCCAATCTTTGTTTAGCAGATTGAGTGCAAACTTGCCCACGAGAAGGGGGGAGGCTCCATGCGATGCATAGGGGAGGAACACACCTTTGATCAGTTGGGGGAACTAGACAAATTCAAAGAATTATTGAATCATCACCCCAAAAGCACATCACTGACGTTTTGTTGCATGTGACGCTCGGCCGAAGCCTCCGCGCCCAGGAGCCCGGCTGCTCTGTGGACAGCGATGGAAGCTCGGAAGGCATCGACCGGAAGCTCACCGTGCAGGAGAAGGCGCGGAAGCTGCCGCGCGGAGCTCGGCCGGGGGCGCTCGCTCGCGGGCTCGCGGCGCGATGCACTCGGGCACTCGCGGGTTTCAGAGGTCGACCACCTGGGGTCGGGTGGGGTAGGTGGTCCACGCACGTGGGCGAGGCGGTTCAATCCTCGTCTCACCTCGTTGGACGGAGTTCGGACCTTTGTCACGAACTGAAGCTAGCAGGTGTAACGCACCACGCCACGCTCGAAGTGCTGTGCTACGGCCTGGAGTGTATTGGTGTATTTTTATATGTTGGTTTTCCGGCTGGCACGAGTTGAAACAGGGACTCCTCTCAGACGTCGACCTGTGTGGCAAGTGGACTCAGCCACCGCCATGGTATGCCATGGTGTGGTCCAACAAAGGCAGCGAAAGGTGATCAAGACCTCGCCTTTGGGGTCGGCAGAATGTGTGGTGTGTGACCCGAAAGCCTAATAGCGGGACTTGGGACTTGATTGGAACAAACCAGACATGAATGAGCCAATCTATGTATTACATTATATATTACAGAGATGACCTCAACCCATAGTCATCTACACATGTCGAACATGGAAGACATCATCGGCAGAGGAGGAGATCCCACTCCTTGCAGAATGCTTCCTTTTCGCCCGTCATTCGAAATTGCCACCGTGTAAGACATGCATAGACACGCAGGTCGCCCAGTTGGAACGTCAAAATGAGCCACTTGGTACAAGCGAGGACATCAGGACCCAAACCGCCCCCCCAAAAGGGATGGTTTAGTGGCGACTACAACCATGTCCGCTGGTGTCGTAATCCCATACAATCCCCACTAGACAATTGTTGTCAATAGAACATCGAAATCGATCCATGTCTGGATTACGGATTTTACTTCTACATCCAGTTCTGAACTCTCTTAACTCGGGGATGTTCGACCAGGTTTCGGGGCTTGATGTGATGTGGCAGGTGACTCACAGTACATCGCGACGTGTTGACGTGTGGCGCTGTGGCGGTCCCACCGAGGGTGAAACGCAGATGTTCCTCTGCTCGGGTGACTTCAATAGACTCGAGTTGACGCCCACATGTTCCACACGAGGCCCGAGTCAATTCCTTGAACCCATATATTCTGGAGGTCGAATCATGGAGGTTCCCCAACTGTTTGTGTTGCCTCCTTTTCTTTCCGAAACAGCAAAGAGTCAAAGATAAAGCAATCTGTGCAACTGTTACGGGATGCAAGATATTGATCTGATCTGCTGGTCCCAGATATTCCAGTCATGGCCTCACATGTTTTCAGGGGGGGTCATATTTTGTCGGGGGTTGCTGTGGACACCACTTACAATAGGACTCATGACCCTCAGAGAGAGAAAGTAGGACCAGCAGGACCACCAAGATCTGCAGCGTCAGAGGGTTCAAAACCAACGACCTAGAGGTCCCCAACTAGGTCCCCATAATCTTGATATTGATGGGTATCAACTTGGCTCATTGCCAGAAATATGCCCAAGCTTGGAGACTTCTTCGAAGCTTGATCACTCAAAGTAGTTTTAGTGCCAATCCTGGATGAGGGGGGGTTATATAATCAGCTTATACCATCCCCCATGTAATGGCGTAATCAATCACTTTTTCGGACACAGTGGCCCACTGCCCACCACCCCCCCATATGGTTCACATCGGTTCACATCTGTGAAAACAGGAATGGCCCCTTGGTCCTCCCCTCTCGCTGTGGCTCCGTCTCTGGCGGGTCCCGAGGGCCCGAACCTCGGCAGTCGCTCCAGTCGTCGCTCTCCCGCCCAGGACGGAGGAATGCGAATTCGAGGAGGGATCCGGCTTGGCTTTTCCGGAAGGGTTGCAATGAGATTCGTTGGACGAGGTTGGACGTTTCTGGTGTTTTTCGTTTTGGTTTGTTGAACCGTTGAACCTTCTCTGAATGGATGATTGAAGCCACTGACTCGTATTTCCCCCCCGTCACCCCCCAGTTGCAAAAGTCTGACAATGGGGGTTTGTTAGACGAAACACCTTGGAACGGGACACTGGACAGAGCGGTTGAGGTGATTATTTTTTTGTTGAACAACTGTTGGAACCAGGTGACTTCTCAGTCTAAGCAAGCTTGCCTGGCTTGCCCAGTCAGATCATTTGCCTCTCCAAACCACGACTTGGGATTAGTTAGATCATGTTAGATCCAAAGGGTTGATATTGCCGGGGACCAAGGGCTGTTTGGAGCGTTTGGGTTGATGATTTGATGATATTGGATGATATTGGGGTATCTGACAAGTGCTCTGTCCACTGTGGGAATCTGGCACCTGACAGTACCGGCCAATGTTTCTTTCTTCAGGGCTGCTTTTGGGCGATCCCAAAAGCTTTCGAACATGGCTTTTTGTTTCGCAGCGGGTGGAAGGCTCGTAGCCCGTGGAACACTCTGGCCGTGGAGGACACGACCTTCTTTTCAAGTTCAGACGCGCCCACGGCCTGATGGGGCCGACCCGTATTCGAGGCACCGATACCACCACGATACTGGAAGATGGTGCCGACCCCAATGTAGGCAAAGACGGCACCAGCACCTTTCAAGTTCGGTGGTTTTTGGACACCCCGAATCACCTCTGTACGAGGCTATTTATAGACACCTCAGAAGGAAGGTCCTGGTACAATATGGTGATATATGGTGTG